ATTACTGTTACCCTCTGACATTTTTGCCAATCTTACAAGGGTAAAATGCCGTCTATGAAACATTTTAAGGACATTTTCTCTAAGATTCACTGGCTTAATAATTTTTTGATTCTCTTCCCACATTTTTGTCCATTCAATAATATCAATATTGTACCCAAAATTCTGAGCCCATCTTACCATTGTCTCGTTCACCCTCTCATCCTCCAAGTCATATTCCAATAAGTATGTATACATTTTAAATTATTTTCTTATTAGTGTAAATCCATAATTCATCCACCCGGACCTTCCCCTCAAAAAAAGCTCATAGTTTTTTCCTTTTTATATCTCGATTCTAATTTCAACATTGACCACCAATCTGTAGCTAGACCCAGTTTCTCTAGATCTTGTTTATCTTTTATATTCTGATCTTTAGTTAATAAGTCTTTATATGTGAGTAATGCTCCCTTCTAATTCAGTACTTTCAAAGTGAATGCTTCTATTGGTGCTACCCATACTGGAATTTTCTTGTAGGTTTGTGTTTGAAATTTTTGCCATACTAAGCAAAGTGCCTTCCTCAGAATACGTTCTGCAAAATGTGATTGTTCATTCCCAATACCACACATATGCATGCCAACCCATTTTTAAATCATGACCCTCCAGTTTCAATAATCTTTGATTTTCTAGTGTTATCCATTCTTTTATCCAGACCATAACACATGCCTTATAATATAAATACCAATTCAGTAGTCCTGAACCACTTCTTTCTTTCACGTCTTGCAATATTCTAAGTTTTATTCTTGGCTTTTTGGCCTTCCATACAAATTTTGAAAGGCTGTCCAGATCCTTGAAGTACAGTATTTATAATTTAATAACATTGGTACATTTTGATATAAAAATAATAGTTTTGGTAATATCACCATCTTTATTGTCGAGTTTTTTCCCCACCATAGAGGTTTGTCGCTTATTCCATTCTTCCAGATCTTTCTGAATTTCCTTCTGTGTTGTATGAAAATTTTCTTTCATCAAATTATTTGGATTTTTTTGTAATGATAACTCCTAGATATTTCACTTTTTGTACCTCCTTTAAATTAGTTTTCATTGCCAGTCTTTCCACGTCTTCTTTCTTTATGTTTTTAGTCAGGAATTTTGTTTTTTGATAATTTATTTTAAGATCTGAAACAGCTCCGAATTCTTCAATAGTTCTCACTAATTCTTCCAAACTGTCCAGAGGGTCTTCTAGTATTATTGCTAGATCATCAGCATATGCTTGCAGCTTCTTCTCCCCTGATTCTGAGACCCTGATTCTGAGACCCTTAATGCCAGCATTCCCTCTTATTTGTCTGTTTAGAATTTCGAATGTTAGAATAAATAATAACGGAGAAAGTGAGCAACCCTGCCTTGTTCAATTTGAATATTTTCAGTTACTTAACCACTGATTTTAATCTTGGCCTTCTGTTTAGTATATATTGCATTAATTTTTTGTAGAAAATTTCCTTCTGCTCCCATTTTCTTTAATTGCAGCAACATAAACTCCCAACCAATCTTATTGAAGGCATTTTCTGCATCTGAAAATTAACATCATTTGCTTTTCTGGATGTATTTCATATTATTCCAAAATGTTTATTATTGATCTTATATTTGATGATAATTTCCTTTTTGGGATGAAACCTGCTTGATCTTTGTGTATCATTTCCTCAAGTACCTCCTTTAGCCTTGTTGCCCAGATGGTTGTATATATCTTATAGCCAACATTCAAGAGAGAGATTGGTCTGTAATTTTTGATTTGTTTTTTCCCCGTCCCCTCTTTGTATATTAATGAATCTGGGATTTCTATGAATCCGGGATTTCCCCTCTAGCTTCAATGACTTCTATTAGTTTCTTGAAGTGTGGGCTTAAAATTTCTTCAAATGCTTTATAGTATTCAGCTGGAAGTCCATCTGGTCCAGGGGCTTTCCCATTTTTCTGTTTTTTCTATGCTCCTCCAGTTTCACTCACTGTAATTGGTTTATTTAAGTTTTCCAATTGTTGAGAACGAAATCTCCAATTCGGAAGTTTATTCAAATAGTTCCATTGTTTCTCCTGTTCAATCTCTTTTTATAAAGATTGGTATAAAAGTTTTTCTTTTTCAATTTCCTTTTGTTTGTATATTTCCTTTCATTCCTTATCCAATATCCCTATTGTTTTTTCTCTCTCTTTTATTCTATATGCTAACCATCTTCCTGGTTTGTTGGCGTTTTCAAAAAAAATTTGCCTTGCAAATTAAATTTTTTTCCCCATTTCTTCTTGTTCTAGTAAGTTAATTTTATGTTGTAATATATTTATCTTATTAGGTACTTAGCTGTAGGTGTTTTCTTTAATTCCATTTCTTCTTTCTTTAGAGATGTTATTATGATTTGGTATTTTTTGTTTCTTTTTTTTCTTTTGTGCATTGAATTCTATCACAAAGCAATGAAAATAAGCTTTGGCTGCATCCCATATCGTTGTCATATCTATATCCTGGGGTTTATTAATTTGAAAGAAAAATTATAGCTGTTTTTAAATTTAATCAGAAAGGCCTCCTCTCTCAATAAGTGGCTATTTAGTCTCCAACCTTGTCTTCTTACTGTTTGTCCTAAGGTCATCAATATTGGGTTGTGATCTGCATATATATTTCAATTTCTTCCACTTAATGTGTCATTTCTGCTGAAATCCAGCAGCTATCTATTCTTGACCATGCTGAAATCCAGCAATTATCTATCATTGATGCTTTCTGCCAGAAAGATATTATCTGCATATTTTAAATTTATGTTTCTTCCACCAATTTTCATTCATCTGAGTCTAATCAGGTTTTCTGTACAATATGTTCTGCATAATCTAATAAAATAAAAATAAATCTAATAAAATAAAATAAAAAGATATTGAACACACAGGGTGATAAAATGTACCCTTGTCTGACACCTTTGCCTATAGGAAACCATTCTGTTTCTCTATATTCTGTTCAAATGTTAGCTTTCTTGTCCACAATACAGGTTACGGATTAGAACAATGAAGTGCTGAGGTACCTGCACTTCTTTCAGAACATTGCATAATTTTTCATGATCCACAGTCAAAGGGTTTGCTATGGTCTAGACTATTCTGAAATTCTTTGTTGCACTCCAGTAGTCAGAGGATTTATATGATCTCATGTGGCTCTTTCTTTTCAAAATCCAACATCAGGCATTTCTAGCTCCACACATGGTAAAGGCTTTTTCCCAACACCTTAAGCATCACTTTGCTTACATGGGAAATTCAAGCAATGGCCCTATAGTTACTGTGCTCCTTGGCATCTCCTTTCTTGGCAACTGAAATATATATTGAACACTATCAGTCTCCAGGCAATTGTTTTGTTTTCCACTATTTGTTGGCATAATCTTGTTAGGATGTTTACAGGTTCAGTCTCTGTGGCTTGAAATAATTGTATTGGTATTCCATCTACTGCTGTTGATTTATTTCTTCCACGTGCTTTCAGAACAGGTTTCATTTTACTTTCTAGAACTGCAGGTTCTTCTTCATAGGATTCCTCTCTAAAGGAGACTATCATGCTTTTATCTCTTCCTTAAAGGTCGGTGACATCTGAGCATTGAGCGAGGAGGCAGGCAGTGCAGCACGGCCCCTCCCAATTTGAAGAGACACTTGTTCCAACAGGCTGAGGCAAAGAGGCAGTCCCAAAACCAGCACAATCAGGGAGCTGGACAGGGGACTGGTTGCATTTGTCTTCAGTGTGGAAGGAATTTTCACTCTTGAATTGCCCTTCTCAGCCACATCAGACATTGTTCCAAGAGCATTGTTCATTGTTCGGAGCACGTTACCATAGTCCCTCAAGATTGAAGGATGCCTACACACAAAGATCTTCAGTATGCCATTCCTACATTTTCTTTTTTTTTCTCCTAGCCAGATAGTGTGTTTCCCTGTTGGTTGATCAGCATTCCTAATCTAGGCTTAGATTTCCTTTTCATTTCTTGGAAGACATTTCTTGTTTTTCCCCTTTTGCTGTGCTTTACAGTGATTGTAATAGTTCTCTTTGTATCTATGTGACAGTCATTGAAAAAACTGCATTCAGAGTTCTGACCCTATTTCTGTCACTTTTGCTTCTTGCATGTCCTTTCCAGTTTCTTTCATCTTCTATCTTGGTTGTTCTTTTCTTTTTTAAATACAATAATCATATTTTTTGCATCCTTCCATAATAATAAATTTAGTTTCCAGTTTACCTTGGTTCATAATTCTCACAATCGATGTTCCAAATGTACGTGTTGTGCAGCATCAGACTTGTCTTTTATATCTGTGCATTTCAGCCTCCAGACATTTTTTCAGCTTTAATCTTTATCACAGTAAGCTGTAATTAGAGTAGGCCCATTTGAATCAATGGAGCTTATGAAGGAGCTGACTCTCAAAATTCCCACTGATTTAATGGGCCTATTCTAGTGCAATTTACTAAACTAAGCAACAGGATTTTGGCCTGTGAATCATTTGTTATATTCAAGTACAGCGGTGCCTCGCATTACATTAATTCATTCCAGCGAAATCGCTGAAGTACGAAAACATCGTAAAGCGAAAATAAAAGCCATTGAAACGCATTAAAACCTGGTTAATGCGTTCCAATCGGCTAAGAACTCACCGTCCAGCGAAGATCCTCCATAGGGGCGGCCATTTTCGGGTGCCTGTGCAGCAAAAAATGGCTCCTAAACACAGCGGGGAGCCATCTTGAGCACCCGGCGGCCATTTTGTAAACAGGGAACCGATCATCGCGCAGCGAAATTCCCCCATTCAAAACGTCGTTTTGCAATCACTTTTGCGATCACAAAAACCTCGTCGTAATGCAGATTCATCATTAAACGGAGCGCCCGTCTTGCGAGGCACCACTGTAGTTCATTATCTTTGTACCACTGATGTAGCAGGAAGTTAGCATATTAAGTTATAATATGTTATACATACTTAATATGTATAAGTTAACATATCAAGATGTGTTCCCTACTATCCATAAAAGAAAAAGACAAACACACCTGAAAGGGTCCTGCATTTGTATAGTTGTCTTTATTTCACTGTTTAAGCGAACACGACTTAAGAGAGAAGTAGGGAATCATAGTGGTGTTAGAGGTAGCTGCATGGAACCTACCAACACACTCCACTTTGAAGAGCAAAACTAATGAAGCCTGCAGGTCTATAACTGAGATTGAAATAAAGATCTTCAGAACACAATGCTAGCAAGTGGCTGGAACAACATGACTCTTTGCTCAAAATGATTCCTCAAAACCACAGGCTGTAAATTTGAGAAGGGGCACAAATATTAAATTTTGAAGAGTACTGTTAAGAAAAATAATTTGTTAGTTATTTAGGACAGACTCAGTAGTAATTCAGCATACTGTCAACCTTTTGCTCAAGAGAGTGATGCTAAGATACGGAACAATGATATCATTCCATTTCCCATAATCAACCTGTCAGGCCTTGCTGTCAGGAATTTCCACAGGTTGACGCCATCTCTTTCAAAATTATTTTTGATGGGGTGGTGAAGAGTAATTTGAAAAACCAAATAGGAAATTATCCTTCCCCCCCCCCGCCCAAAATCTGGGATTAACTTTACTCTTATTTTTCAAAGGACTGAACAGTCACATTTCTCCTAAACATGTTTTAAGTCTCTAGATGGAATCTCAAGAATTTGCTGCAGTCCCATGATTAAGGGTAAAGATAGGCAATTAAATACAAGCTCTCTTTCCAGAGGATAGCTATCAGTCCCTACTCATCAGGTATCATTCCTTTTTTCTTTCTGGTTTAGCCATCATGTAGAAAGCTATCAGACAGGAGATGGTCCCTCCTATTGTTAGTGTCATAGCGATCCGGTAGAGAAGCTGATCAGGAAGGCCTCGTTTCAGATGTACTCGCAAACCATCATTCTGTTGATAAAAAAATATATATGTGCATTAAAAAAGCATACACATACTTTCATCACAAGTAAGCTACTTAAGCATCAGTGCAGAGAGAAGGCAGTGCAATATTTCTTAAGCTGAAATGGGCAGCTAGTTTATCTTCAAACTGTGAAACAAGCCATGCAATCTATTGCTACAGAAACACCAAATCTTATATTTTGCACAAGATTCAGCACTGTAACATTTGTTCTACAAATATTATCTAGGTACAATTTTAATTGTTTCTGTGAATATGCTCTTGGAACTGCACAATATCTGCCTACTGAAATCAACTAGGTAGGAAACAAGCAAGTAGTGCATGATTAGAGAGTCTGAAAAATGTTTTCAGACTACAACTCTGAGAATCTTGTAGGGGGGATACTGAGAGTTGTAGTTTAAAGAGCCAAATTTTCTAAGCTATGACAGGGTATGACTTTTAGTGAAGCCAGCACTTTCAGGCACTGGGCATCTCTGAAGGCTGGACTTAGCCAGTGCTGGCAAGTGCTTAGAGAGGCCTTTGTGCCATAACCATTTCCTAATGGGAAAACAGAAAAGCTGGGCACTTGGCCAAAAAACTTGATGGAGAAGGTCCAGCTGGTTCTTTGGCCAAGGACCTAATGACAGCAGAGCCATGGTTGCACATTCCTGATATCATCTAGGTGAGTTGTAAGGGGAAATTCACTCCATCCCCAATATCCCACTCCTTGCTCTGCCTTAGAACTGCTCAGTTCTTACTGACATAGATTTACCATGCTTAGAGAGGAAACCCAATCTTATTTGTTTGTTTGTCTTTTACCCACCCATCTAGATTCAAACAAATCTACTCTGGGCGGCTTTACAGCCCAAGCCCTTTCCCCGCAACATCAGCATGTTCTCTAAATAAAAAGTAACATATCTGGAAGAGAGAGGTTTCTTCTCTTATATAAGCTTTCCACACAAGCCAGAACCTTGAAAATATCTGGAGGATAGCCTAGACATGGACAGGACCTCTCCTCAGCAGATACACTGTCTTCCACGGTGATAACGGGGGTGGGGAAAGGTTTAAGCACTCCTCTCTAAGCATGGCATGTCGATCCTTACCAGTAATGACACAACTATCAAATCTAGATTTTATGGAGGAGAAAATGGAAAAGAAAGTGATGATCATATTTGCCAAGTTTTGCTTGTAGTCATATGTTTGTTATTTAGTGTCTCATCACATCAAATTTGCACTACTCTTTCATACAGCAGCCCAAACAGCATGCCACAGAATAGTCTCATAATGTCACTGTTACTTACAACATCATGTTACTTACAACCTATGGTAACTATCAATTAATGACATCCAAAATATCTCATCATTAAATGACCTGCTCAGATTCTCATCCCACTGGCCATTGTGGGTTTTTTTTTTTTTTTCAGGAAACAAGCAAGTAGTGCATGATTAGAGAGTCTGAAAAATTATGTTTTCAGACTACAACCCTGAGATTCTTGTATGGGGGATACTGAGAGTTATAGTTTAAAGAGCCAAATTTTCTAAGCTATGACAGGGTATGACTTTTAGTGAAGCCAGCACTTTCAGGCACTGGGCATCTCTGAAGGCTGGACTTAGCCAGTGCTGGCAAGTGCTTAGAGAGGCCTTTGTGCCATAACCATTTCCTAATGGGAAAACAGAAAAGCTGGGCACTTGGCCAAAAAACTTGATGGAGAAGGTCCAGCTGGTTCTTTGGCCAAGGACCTAATGACAGCAGAGCCATGACTGCATATATTGTTGTGGGTTTTTCGGCCTGTTTGGCTGTGTTCCAAAGGTTTTTTTCCTGTTTCATATACAGCCCAAGCCCTTTCCCCGCAACATCAGCATGTTCTCTAAATAAAAAGTAACATATCTGGAAGAGAGAGGTTTCTTCTCTTATATAAGCTTTCCACACAAGCCAGAACCTTGAAAATATCTGGAGGATAGCCTAGACATGGACAGGACCTCTCCTCAGCAGATACACTGTCTTCCACGGTGATAACGGGGGTGGGGAAAGGTTTAAGCACTCCTCTCTAAGCATGGCATGTCGATCCTTACCAGTAATGACACAACTATCAAATCTAGATTTTATGGAGGAGAAAATGGAAAAGAAAGTGATGATCATATTTGCCAAGTTTTGCTTGTAGTCATATGTTTGTTATTTAGTGTCTCATCACATCAAATTTGCACTACTCTTTCATACAGCAGCCCAAACAGCATGCCACAGAATAGTCTCATAATGTCACTGTTACTTACAACATCATGTTACTTACAACCTATGGTAACTATCAATTAATGACATCCAAAATATCTCATCATTAAATGACCTGCTCAGATTCTCATCCCACTGGCCATTGTGGGTTTTTTTTTTTTTTTGCATTTTCTTATTAGAATTTTGATGCACTCCATCTCTGTAGCTTGCAACTGCTTTAGCTGATATCTCATTTATTCCTGGTGATTTGTTTCCTCAGTGTTTTGAGGGCAGTTTTCACTTTACTTTCTAAAATTTCCAATTATTCAACAAATAATTTGTCTGAGGGATCTGTTATTTTTATATCTTTTCTGTATAGCTCTTAAATACAATACTTCCCTCTTGTCTTTATTTTATCCTGATCAAATAAGGTTCTCTCCTGTTAATATTCCAGCATATTTCAAATACTTCAATTTCCCTTTGATTTCTTCAATCTTATTAAAAGGAAGAGATTTCTTGTTTTTATCTTTCTGTTTTCCTTCTATTTCTCTTAATGAATATATTAGTTGGTTGTTGTGGGTTTTTCAGCCTGTTTGGCCGTGTTCCAAAGGTTTTTTTCCTGTTTCATCTCTGTGGCTAGCATCTTCATAGGACAGTAGTTATAATTCTGTCTGTGTTCTGGTGTAGTGTGTGGGATAGTTGAGTATTTGTAGCTGTGGGATCAGCTTTTTGCCCTTTTCAGGAGATTGTGTGATAATGGTGACCAGCATGTTTTTTGTTGTGGGTGTATTGTTGTTACAAGGGGGAAAGATTATCTGTCACTGTGATTGATGGGTGTCATTAGCTGGTCTTTTGTGTGCAGTCATAACCAGTCCTTGTGGCTGGGTAAAATTTGTTGACTTTTTGCAGGCTATATTTTTCAGTGCTGGGAGCCAGGCTTCGTTGAGGTTTAGACTTTCTTTTTGGCTGAATCTCTGCTGGTGTTTGTGGATTTCAGTGGTTTCCCTGTGTAGTCTAACATAATGATTGCTGGTGTTGTCCAGTACTTGTGTTTCGTGAAATAAGATTTCATGTCCAGCTGAAAAATATGGTGAAACTTTAGGAAGACAAACCTTCAGAACACGGCCAAACAACCTGAAAAACCCACAACAACCATCGGATCCCAGCTGTGAAAGCCTTCGAGAATATATTACACTAGTTCTTTTTGTCCTTACATGCAAGTCACTGATGATGGGTTCATTTAGGATTCTTACCTTTTTCTGTCAGATTTCATTTTTTGTTTCTCAGCTAGCATCAATAATTTTAAGAGTTTAAGCAGACACACATGAAGGCTTTCCTGTGACTTCCTTGATGGACTCAAATGGACTATTTTCCAACAGTCTCAAAACAAGGACTTTTTGAGCATTCATGTCAAGTGCTCCAGTAGCTTATTCAATATTCTCAAGTGTTAAATCTCACTAAAGTCTAACTGCAGATTGCTATAGTGTGTCCAGATTACCACTACTGCTGAATTATCTTTATATAAGGTAAAATGCTTACATCTTGTTGGCAAATTGCTACTCATTAATGATGTCTGATAACATTCTTGACTGCATTCCTAACTGAGCAACTGGGTAGGCACCCAGGAATACAACCAGTACCATCAATATTTATGATTTTCATTACACAAACATGCCAGCAAATGTATTCTGGCCAGTGTAACCGGCCAGAATACATTTGTATTCATTAACAGAGGCATAAGAACATAACATTAGTATGTTCTTTAACAGAGGCATTAGTATGTTCGTTAACAGAGGCATATTCATTAACAGAGGCATAAGAACATAACATTAGGCTTTAATTATTGGTGTATAATGTGGCTATATACAACCCACAGGAACATAGGAAACAGCTATACTGTAGAAAAGTAAATCAATAATGCTGATTTTTAAAAAATATATATTAGTACATTCAGAATGCTATTCTGAATGCTATTCTGAATGTACTAATGTACAGAAATTGGAAGTAGAAAGATGTAGGACCAGAGATATTTATCAAGCAAGGAAAATGCAATCCAGGCCAGAATTCTGATAAATGCTGATTTCAGGCATTTTAGGCAACTACAGATGGACTAAGTTCAAAATATTACTCAGATCATCAGATGCTGTTTTTTTTTCAAGTCATGATGATGGGATATGTAGTCAGAGAAATGTAAGATGGAGACAGACAGGTTCTGTGTGAAAACGATTTGAGAGATATTGGAATGTGTTTTTCTAAGTGCCATGAGAGACTTTTCCCGAGGATCGTTACAGCCTGATTCAAAGATAGCGATGAAGGCCGAATTGAGAGGTCTGTAGAAGACTCAATATTCCGAGCTAATTGGAGAAGAGATAAACAACACCTGGACTCTCATGGGAATAAGCGAAGGAGGAAAGTGGTAGAGCCTCTACAGGCTAATTGGTTAACAGCCAGAATTGTCAAGAAGAAGGGAGGAGCGCAAAATTGTCAAGAAAAAGGTAGGTAAGTGGCCTGTAGAACTCTCTGACCGAGTGCCAGGTGGCCCTTTAGGGGGTCCGGTGCACCACACTTCTCACCTGATATAACTTCTGTAGTTCTGGTGCTTTGCTTCTAATAAAACCTTGAACTGGTGGCGTTCTTTCCAAAGTAGGTCTTGTCGATGTTGCAGATATCAGAGACGACTCCACAGATACTGTTGGCTTGAATCCCTTTGTAAAGAAAAGAATTAAACTTGTTTGTACAACTAGGAATTTATCTAGCAACTGTGTCCCATGCAAACAGGTGGCAAGCCAACAAGAGATGATAAGAACTAAAATATATCAGGCCTGACTTTGAATAGCCTCAACACTGACTGCAAAGAAGATACTAAAAGCATAACTATTTGCAGGTCTTTTACCATAAAGCAGCTAGCAAATGGCAAATCATGTGCATGTTCTACCAGAAAGTGAGGGGAGACAGCACACTTCAGTAACTTGGGTGAGATCAACTACTGCTCACTTCTCCAAACACAAAATTATCAATTTTGGCCGTACTGATCATAATGCCAGTACCCTGAAATTTGCCTGTTTTCCTTCTTCTGTCCTACCAGCAGAGGATGATTCATTACAGCAAGTGCGCCATTGGTAAGGAACAGTAGAAAAATCACTTTTCCCCCCAGCCGAAAAGCAAGTAAGATAGTGAAGAAGACTATTGTATTAACAGAAGACACCATTTTGCAGTTCAGTTACGCCCGATCCAAGCATTTGCAAAGTATGTGGAGCTTGCATGCAGACTCAGGAGCAGGCCAGCTCCACCCACCTACTGTTTAAGCTGTGAAAGTGACATTCTGAAGAGAGAGAAACTGCTCTCTGTGTATTCTGTCCATGTGGATCAAAGCGTGACACAGATGGAGCCTCTCAAAAGAGTACCAAATCCACCCACTTCATGGATGCTGATCCATTAGACAATGGCTGAAGTCGAAGAAAAGTTTCTTCACATATCTCATGCTTTGGCCGTTTCTGGTAAAAAATATTCTGTCCTGACATTTTAACTGTTTTTTGATTTTGCCCATATTCCATGTGTTCATAATTTCAAATTGTGCAAAACTCTGACCCGAATAAAGAAAAGAATGTGAATCAGAACTACCAATGGCAAATGCTTTCTGTCTTTTCATATTAACTCAAAGCTGCTCAAACAAAAATCTGACTATATCAGGAACATTTTGCAACGAGTTGGCTGATTTCTGGCCCTGAACCAATGTTCTGGCTCTTCATGACCTGATATCCATAAGAATGCAGACACCACCCTCTCCTCATACAAACTCACCTGACACCTATTTATAGGTCATTTTTATTTGGGGCAGGCTGCTGGATTTATTTATTAAATGTATACCGCGCCCATCTAGACCGAAGTCTACTTTGAAGTCTAGATCCCCATGTGATACTACATGCACATAGCAAAAAACTAGTCTAAAGTGACACAGCGCTTGGTCCATTGTGATCTGTGGTTGCACTATTACAGCATTTCAAGGAAAGGCAGCAAAACCTCCCCCACCAAAAAGACTGATTATTATGAAGTTACTTCTGCTCCTGTATTATTTTATTACTACTACAAAGTGTTCTGGTTTTAATGTATGCTTATGAGTATGGGCAGGATATCTCTGACATTTCACATTATCTCTGCAACCTACATTTGAACCCATAAGCAAGCTCAAACATTTTTGTGAGCAATCTGGCCTTTCTTACCAGATTACTCATATACATGTTGAAACCCACCCATAAGCTCAAACATAGGCTGCAGGAAAAAAAATGATATATCACAGAATCCTCCCCATACTTATGAGACTATTCTTTTATTACCCAGTTCACTGCCTACTTTGTAAAAGCTTCCTCCAGTACTGAAAGGATGATTGGCAAATCTTTAAATAATTGTTCCTTTTGCTTGATGACATCAGCTCAACTTGAAAATGGTCTTTCTTCATAGTCTGTTCCTTAGGATTTTCAGATATGGAATAGAGGCAGTATCAAATAGTTATCAGAATCTGTTGACTAGCTAAGCCAAAGCAGCAGGAAATAAAATTAGTTTGACAAACTTCCCTAAATGCAGAGGTAAAATTAGATGTTAATAAGCTTTCAACAGGGGGTTGTAAAGCAACTAGTACTTATTTTGCACATTGAGCACTATATGCAAAATAATACTGATCCACCACCTTACAGGATTGTTACAAGGATTGTTCATGTTACACACATGACATTATTTGAGCACTCAAGTCATTACTAGGTGTTTTGGTATGTGAAGCTTCTCATGCATCGAGTGAAAACAGCCCTCCCTCCAACAGAATCCCTCTGTTCTTTCCCCCTCTTTAAAGGGACAGCCAGAAAAATAAATCTCCAAATAAGGAGAGTATCTTTGATATCTCTGTTTAGGTTACCTTTCGCATCCCGGAAAAGCATGAATGCATTCAGTATAGTGAAGCAGTTAGTGGTAATCTAGAAAAGGAAAATTCCAGGTTCAAATCCCCACTAAGCGATGAAGCTCACTGGGTGACTTCTGGAAAAAATTATTGTCTCTCTTGGTCTCATCTCTATCTCCCATGTTTTGCGAACAGGAAAGATAGGAGGAGCCAAGTGTCATTTCCTGAGAAACCTTGAGGAAGGAAAAGATGCATGAAAGAAAATTTAATTTAAAGGTAAGACAGCCTGACCCATCATCCACTGGAAACAGGCCTTACAGCAGTAGTTCCCAACCTTTGGTAAACAAGATGTTCTTGGACTGCAACTCCCAGAAACCCCAACCAGCACAGCTGGTGGTGAAGGCTTCTGGGAATTCCAGTTCAAGAACACCTGGGTTAACCGTGGTTGGGAACCATCAACATAGAAGAAGCATCTCTGTTTAACAGACACATTTGTCCAGGCTTGGAATCTGGAAACACCTCATTTTCTCAACTCAAAATGAAAGTTATCTTTCATGTTATGGATAAAGTGACCTATGGCTGGAGATAATTACAAGAACAACTCTAACACTAGACGTTAGTTCCTTATCCTTTATATCCTTAGAACTGCAGAGCTGGAAAGGACCGTATGGATCATCAAGTTCAGCCACTGTCAGGGATGCAGAGTGGGGAACTGAACTCCCAACTTCTGGCTCTGCAGCCAGATGCCTAAGCCACTGAGCTATCTAGCAGTTCTTAAATTGTGTGATGTTATGCACCTTCAACATAATGCAATACTTTGAATGAGTGGCCTCCAATTAGTGTCTTATTAGTACTTATGGGAGAAAAGGGGGGTCTTACTTCCCCGCCCCACTTTTCTATTTAAGTGTACACTTTCACAGCTTTTACCACGAGAAGAAAAAAGGCAGTAGAACATGAAGAGGAATGAGAGGATGACAGCTAGGTTTTACTAAAAAGGATAGCTTACTGCCACTCTATCTCTTTCTCCTGTACAGACTTACACAGAAGTAAACCCTACTACATCTCATCAGACATGCTCTCAAAGTAAGTGTGTACAGAACTGCAGCCTTAATATAGGCAATTTAACAGATGTGGGAGCTGACCTGCTGATACAGGCAGGAGAAAATGGGAACAGGGAGTTTCAGCAATAGCCAGCAAAACATTTAGCCTTTATTTCCCAGAAGTTTTGAATATATTTATATATATTCCAGAGGAGGGAGGAATCAATTAAGAGCTGAACAATAAGCTATGTTCAAAACACAGTGTCTTCATTTAAGCCATCAAGCAACACTATAAAAAACCAGGATGAAATTAATTTTCAAAGTCTTTGCTCCACATACACAGGCAACTCACAACACACTTACTTCTCAGCAGCTCCATTGAATTTAATAGACTTACACTGAAGTAAAAAGGGTGCAGAGTACAACCAGAATTACCTGCAAATGAATTCTGTACCTTATTATTCCACACAGCAAATGTTAACACAGTATGTTTAGCATTACATTTGCATTTTAACAAGACTAATAAGTGCATGCTTAGGATGAACGCCTGCTAATTACTTTTTGTTTGTTCATCTATTAAGCTGTCTGCCAATCAAGGACATTTTTCATATGTCAATGTAACTTCATGCAAAACTATTAATATTTTTTAAATGTAGCAAACAAGAGTTCAGCTCTTTCTTACCCAACTACGACACCAATGATTTTTTTTTATATAAGCACAATAGAAGTGGGGAGAGGAAGGAGATGGATTTTCTTTTAGGGATGCTGGAAGCCAGCCTGAATAGGAGAAAACCAAGGCTTAGCAATATCATTAGGCATTTAAGTTGCCAGTGACAGGTAGGAAGAGGGAAAGGAATTTAAAATACCATAGGGAGCAGGAGGATGTGTAGGAAAAGTGTCTCAAAGGCTATAGATAAGGGGAGCGCAAAGACAAGTCACTGAAAGCAAGGGGAAAAAAATAGGGGTGGATTAAGAAACAATGACTTAGAAAAAGCTGGGGAAAGAAGACTTGAGCAAAATAGAGGGGGAGTTAAAAATGGCCACTGGGGCATCACATCTTTAAATTTCAGGGCACAGCAACCCTCCAGATGGCAGTGGTACTTATTCACACACAAATTTACTAGTTACAGACTGCTGGTAAGAAAGAAGGCAAGGGAACTCTAGTCTAGGCACCTTAGCAAAACGAACTTTAGTTTTACATGTATAGTATGCTAGAGTGGTCTTAAGTGACTACAGTGGACCCTCGACTTACAGATGGCTCGACTTACAGACTTTTCGAGTTACAGACTTCTCTGGCTGCAAAATTTAGATTCGACTTGCAGCCGGAGAATCGACTTACAGACCAGAAAAAAACCAAAATGGAACAAAAATAGAATGAAAACTGCCAGTTGTGGGATTAATCAGTTTTCAATGCATTGTAGGTCAATGGAGATTCGACCTACAGACTTTTCGACTTACAGCCACCGTTCCAATACGGATTAATTCCTTAAGTAGAGGGTCCACTGTAGATAGGCGGGATATACAGTAAATAAAATAATAAATAAATAAATATTTGTTTAAAGTATTAAAGGACTTCTTTTTCAAATGTTTTGAGTGGTTTATTTATCCCATTTAGGACCAGACTTAGGTACTTGCAACAGGGTTAACAGAGCTGGACTTCAACACCTGCTCTTGCCCCCAGAAGTGCTCTAGAGCCCTGAAATGTTCAATGGGTTGAGCTATATGGTGGGCAAAGTGAAGGTGGCCAACAGGCTAATTACATGAACAGCTGGTTTCC